CAGAAGTGGTTAAAACAAGAACACGGCTGCTTCGGCAGCCGCGCTCTTGGTACCGCTTTTATCAGCAGGCGATTGCTGTATGAGTTACAAGCAATCGCCTGCTGAGGACTACAAATCTCAGCAGTACTTTATACAGAAATGCTATTGTTATATAAAGTATTGCTGGGATATGTAGTCCTCATGTGTCATTCTGCATTGCTGTAAATATTAGGGATGCACCGATATATCGGCCGCCAAAACATATTGGCCTGAAATGGCACTTTTGGCATAATGCCGAAAGTGCAATCTTTCTGCCGAAACAGCGGCACATCCCTGCTTTCTTTTCTCCCCGCTGGGCGCTGCTCTGTGTCCCAGCGGGGAGGAGAGAAAGTGACAGCCGGCCGAGCACTGCGAAAGGAGAGCGCTGTGTTTGTGGGTTTATGGGGGGGGGGTGGCAAAAAAAAATCTTGCACCAGGGCCCTTTGTTCCCTAGCTCCGCCACTGTCTGTCACTCTACTTTCTCTTCCTATCAGCATGCCTCTTGTCAGAACATGAACGGATTGGTTCTTGTACTGCTTCTTCACACTCTATCCCTGCTGTAGAGGGACTGCAAAAAGCAGATACCAGATCAGATCAAATCCAGGTACTTGCACAGCTTGCATTTAAAAAAAAAAAAACTGACTCAGGCCTACTAAAATGTCCATAAAAGAAGAAAGCCTGCAATATGAGTCATGAAAACGAGCACACATATATATCACAGCGCCCCTATATTACCACAATACATTCTAATCACTTCCAAAAGGTGGATATCGGCTGTACATGTAACAGAGCTGCATAAATGTGTCATTAAATTCTGCATAGAATTCGGCCTTTAATTAGGTTTTTCCAAGCCTCTTTCAATGGGAAAATTGTGCCTGACCATGGGCATGCATCTATTAGATCTACTTGAAAATTATTGCAGTCAATGCTGAAGCTCATTGATTTAGGCTGGCCATAAAATGCTCAGACACCAAAAAACACCACCACCATAGAGCTATCCTTGTGATGACTGGGCTGTTTTTAACCTGTTAGGAGAGTAAAATGCATCTCTAGCAGATACAGAATTAGCATAGTCTCCCACAGCGCAGGGTTCAAGACTTCCTTCTTCTTTCCTGCCTTCTGAGTATGGCGGTAGTTGAAGCCACTTGTATTAAACCAGGCAGAACATTCCCAGGGAGATATCTGCTCATCTGCAAACAGCTTTAGTTCTTTTCAAACATTGGAAGCCATAAGTGATACACTGGCACAATTTTAGATTTATATATGAATTTGTCCAACCTGACCAAATGTCAAAAGTTCTTTTTAGCTCCCGTGCAGTCATCCCTGCAACAGCATTTCAATATTGACCAAACTTTCATCTTAGCTTGCTGGTCTTGCAACAAAAGCTGTATACATCTGCAACACTTACCACTCTTTTCAAAAGCTGTAGCTCCAACTCAGATACTGAACTATTGAACTGGGAGGCAAATGAGCACATCTGTTGACAACGTTTAATGAGCTCAAACAGACCAGTGTCCATGCTTAGAGTCTCTGTAGTCCGTGTGCGTAAACTTTCAAAGTGAATGATGGTGCTACAAAGGAAGGTGACCTAAAAAAAAAAAAAATCAATCAGACCGAGATTAGATGATGTTCGCCACAAAAAAAAAAGGAGTCAGCAAGGAATGTGTAACCAGACAAAACTATATACCTGGTTTGTTCTTTGGTTTTCTTTTAGTACAAAATTCCTTCTCTCTGTAATAGTAGCCTCAAAGTCTTGGAGAACTGGTGCCAACGCTGGATTTGCTCCTCCTGCCCATTTTAAGCGCTGCTCGATGCTGGCTTCTAAAGCCGCAAGTTTTTCCTGCAGGAAATAAATGTGCCAAAAGAGACTTTTAAAATAATTTTTTTGTCATAAACCTGCATTCCAAGATTACAATAGTTACAATTGCTCAAAATAAATTGGCCACAGGATTAATTAGGAAACTGACTGGCTCATGAACTCTGAACCCTCTAACAATGCCTATGTGTCAATACTAGAAATCAGTTCAAATTTAAACAATTCAAGCAAACAGCACTTTTGATGGTGCACCTGGACTGCTGCAATAGAAGAGTCAATCTGTCCAAGAGTATGAAGCTTCTTCTTCATGCTGGTTAATATGGCAGAGCGAGGAGGAGGAGGAGTAACAGATGTTGCTTGCGGGCGGCTAATCAGGAAGTCTTCATGCTGCCACTAAAATGTAAAACACACAAATTTTAGTCAAAGGTTAGAGTCACAGATATTACAATGATCTGTTGCCAAGTTGCTGAGTTTTTAGAACTAGTTACAAAATCACCAACAGCAGTAGCTACTTATGTAATCCAGGGGGCACAACTCAGAGTTGTACCTGCATGGATGCGTACTCTATCCAGCTATAATTTTCAGGCATGGCTAGTTAAATGCTCAAAAGGTCCTATCCTGAAAAAAACATGGGGGCTGCCTTTTGCTTCAGAATAGTAGAAAGGTCACCAGCACACCATTCCTTTTGGGATAGCAAAAGCTTCATTTATTGAAGTTCTTTGTCATATGAAGAAGCACTTTCGGGACCACACAGGGTCCCTTCATTGGGCTTTAGTCAATGCCAAAGCCTAATGAAGGGACCCTGTGTGGTCCCAAAAGCGCTTGTTCATATGTCAAAGAACTTCAATAAATGAAGTTTTTGCTATTCTAAAAAGGACTGGTGTGCTGGTGACCTTTCTACTATTCTGCTATTTGCGGCGCCATCCGCAGTCACTGCGAGCACCCCCCACTACAAGGGACATTTCGGGAAGGAGTGCAACAAGTCCAGTATTTATTGCATTTTGCCTCAGACTTCTGAAAATACTAGTTTTCTGGCTGTCATGCTAACCCTATGTCTTCAAATACCTTCAGTCGCTGATCTGGAACAGTTAAACAGAGAAGACAATTTGTCTTTTCACTGACTTTCCTAATATGCATACTTGTTCTAAGTCACTGACTCAATGTATTGAAGCTAGTATGTCAGTACAACACCCAGACACCTAGAAGTTTTAGAAGCTCAGCATTACCAGCTACAATATTTCTTTCAGAAATAACTTGATACACTGCTTATGTAAACTGGGAAAGAGCAAGAAGCACTCAGATCTAGTAGAATGTGCCTTGAAAGAACAGGGTGGAACCTCATCATAAGTTTGCATGATGATCTGGCCCCCTTACAGGGTCCATCTGGAATACAAAAAGGAACCCGTCCAACTGAAGAAGCAGAACCTGAACCACATCCAGCCGATAGAGGAAATATCCCTTAGTTGAACTGAAGCCAATTCTGGTTGACGTGAAAGACAAAAAATACCTATGCAAGAAGGAAGTCCTGGGCCTCAACACCATCTCGTCCCTATGCAAAACAAAAGGGGTATCTTGCTAGATAAGGCTGCCAGTTCAGATACTTGCCTCATAAAGGTGATGGCTACAAGATCACCTTGTGGTTCTGAGTAGTGAGAGGAAGGTCTCTAATGGGTTCACACAATGATCATTGAAGTGCAAAGAGAACTAGATTCAGATCCCATAGAGTCACAGGGGGAGCCACATTAGAGAGTCCCTGTACAAAAGGTCTAAAATCAGGAATTGAAAGACCAACAATCTCTGAAACAAGATGCAGAAACCTGATCCTTTAACTGGGTAACTCTTTGGGTGGAAGCCCTGAGACTCGCACAAGTAAAGCATGCCTTCCATGTCTGAAGATAAACCTTACAGGTAGCTGCCGAGGTGCTCCTGACTTAAAAAGAAAACTAAGGCTTTAAGAGTCATAGGTATGAAGTAGGATGGCAGAACGGTCCTTTGGACAGAAGATCCTGACGATCTGACAAAGTCCACAAAGCATCTGCCAGGAGTTTTACTACTAAATTATACATCAGTCTATACTGATCCCAGAGTTAGCTGGATATCTACTGCTTCTGCTAAAGGGTACCTGTACTTAAAGAAAAACCTGTCTATTTTGTTGCTAAACCTGGATGCCAGATGGTCCACATTCAGCGTCCCCCACTTAAGCACAGGACCTTGAACACCTTCAGGCGTAGGACCACCCCTTAACCAGATCCAGACACTTGCGGCTGAGCAAGTCTGCCTGCCGATTGGCAGAAAAAGTGGAAACTTCTGCTCAGGACAGAACCTGAACCTAGAAGTCGGTTCGAGACACTAAATGTGAAGATTCAGAATCCAACCTGAACTGCTGCAACCTCTGGACTGATACAGACAGTTTCCTCAACAGGAGGTCAGCTAACAATCCCACAAAGGGGAAGCCTCAAGAGAGCAGTAGGACTAATACAAGGTCTAACCCTTTGGTAACCACGAGGTGCAGATAAGAGGTCAAAAGTCAGGGCCACAAACCGATAGTGTAGGGACCCCAAGCAAAACTATATGTGATGGGAAGACGAAGACAGTCATGTACATATGTCATGTCATGTACATGGTAAAGTTCACAGAAGTAAAAAATCAACATGGAGTAAAGAAGAGATGAGTTGAATTTCATGTGGAATTTCTGGATACAAAGGAAGACTTTCAGAAACTGAGATGCCAGCTGGGGGCAAACACCCCCTTTGTATAAAAGGAAAGACAAACACGTTGATGGTAACACTCCTGAAATTCTTACCAACGGATTTGGAGCATTAACACCGTAATCCAGAAGACCTGAGAGGGCTCGATAGAGATTTGCTAATCTGTGGGGTAACACTAAGGTCGAAAGTAAAAAGCCAAGAAGGGGGCACCCAAACACAGAGATGCAAGTTGTTCAAGTGTCCCCCACTCTGGAAAGTGGGGGCACACATGCAAGCTAAGGGAGGCTAGGCAAAGTTAGGAAGATTAAGTGCCAGATCCTGCAGGCAGACCGGGGACTTAACCAAGGATCTTGACGAAAAAGTGGAGAAAAACAAAAATTGAATATTTGTTCACATAAAGGGAAAAGACTTAGGGGTTCTACAAGCGCAAGTAGAGTAGACTGTCAGGTTTTTATTACCGTGTTCCCCATTAGGGAGATTGTTAAAACAGCGGTTTTAACTCACCCGTACTATATATACAAAATTAAAAAATTATATATATATTTTACTCTCTCCTAATCTCCATATTTTTAATCACAGATGTTTATTTAAATAATTTATGCCTGTGTTTTCACCAAATCTAATATACTTTATACCTCTGTGTCTGTGCTCATATCATGTTTACTTTGCTATTCCAGCGATACCACATAACAGTTATATGGAAGGAGAGAAAGAGGAAGACACTGAACTTGAAGCAGGTAACTGCGGTCTTTTTTGACCCGCTTCTCTCCATAACCTGTAGGTTACAAGCATCCTGTTTAGGGATGCACCAATACAGATACTAGTATCGGTGCCGATACAGGGCATTTTCATGAGTACTTGTGAAAATGCCCCGATACTTAGCGCTAGGGATGTCCCGATACCGATTCTAGCTACGGTATCGGGGCCGATACAGGGCATTTTCACAAGTACTTGTGAAAATACCCAGATACATAGCGCCGATACCGGCACTTTAATTTTTAAAATAGTTCCAGGCTGCCCCCGAGGTACCGCGCTTGTACGGGCAGCTGAACTAGGACCTCAGAGAAGCTCCTCCCACAGCATGGCCAGCAGAGCGACGGAGGTGCAGGAAAGCATGGCATGTCAGCTGGGAGCCTGATACCGGGCCACGGGCGCTCTGCTTTGCAGCTAGATCTTATCTGCTGAGTGTGTCCATCTGTGTGTCTGTGAAAGCTCTCCCCTCCCCCATCCTAGAGATGGGACTTCCTCACTTACATGTTCCTCCGAAGCTGCTACACCCGAGGTCCGTACAGCAAGGCTGCCTGTTATTAACCCCTCCATCACCATTGGCTTCCTTATGCTCTCCTCCACCACAGGATGCCTGCAATTATCCCCTCCATAACCACAGGCTGCCTGCCATTACCCTCTCCATTACCACAGTCTGCCTAAACCCCTCCAACACCAGAAAATGATCTCCAGAACCACAGGCTGCCTGCGATTAACCCCCTACATGACCGCAGGCTGCCTGCGATTATCCCCTCCATAACCACAGCTGCCTGCGATGATCTCCTCCATAACCGCAGGCTGCCTGCGATTATCCCCTCCATAACCACAGCTGCCTGCGATGATCTCCTCCATAACCGCAGGCTGCCTGCGATTATCCCCTCCATAACCACAGCTGCCTGCGATGATCTCCTCCATAACCGCAGGCTGCCTGCGATTATCCCCTCCATAACCACAGCTGCCTGCGATGATCTCCTCCATAACCGCAGGCTGCCTGCGATTATCCCCTCCATAACCACAGCTGCCTGCGATGATCTCCTCCATAACCGCAGGCTGCCTGCGATTATCCCCTCCATAACCACAGCTGCCTGCGATGATCTCCTCCATAACCGCAGGCTGCCTGCGATTATCCCCTCCATAACCACAGCTGCCTGCGATGATCTCCTCCATAACCGCAGGCTGCCTGCGATTATCCCCTCCATAACCACAGCTGCCTGCGATGATCTCCTCCATAACCGCAGGCTGCCTGCGATTATCCCCTCCATAACAGGCTGCCTGCGATTAACCCCTCCTTAACCACAGCTGCCTGTGATTAACCCCTCCATAACCGCAGGCTGCCTGCAATTATCCCCTTCCATAACCACAGCTGCCTGCGATGATCTCCTCCATAACCGCAGGCTGCCTGCGATTAACCCCTTCATAACCACAGCTGCCTGCGATTAACCCCTCCATAACCACAGCTGCCTGCGATTAACCCCCTCCATAACCACAGCTGCCTGCGATTAACCCCGTCCATAACCGCAGCTGCCTGCGATTAACCCCCTCCATAACCGCAGGCTGCCTGCGATTATCCCCCTCCATAACAGCAGGCTGCCTGCGATTAACACCTCCATAACCATAGGCTGTCTGATTAACCCCTCCATATTTAGAGGCTACCTAATCATTAGTCTGTATTGTTTTAGAAAAAATTTTGCATTTAGCTTTAAGAAAAGTATCGGTAATTGGTATTGGCAAGTACATGAGGGACAGTACTTGTACTTGGTCTTGAAAAAGTGGTATCAGGACATCCCTACTTAGCGCCAACTCTGGCACTTACATTTTTTTACACACGTTCGGCTGCCTGAAGTCCCGTGCTTGCTGGGGACCTCAGGCAGCCTGCTGGCGACCTCATAGTAGCAGTCTTTGACAGTGCCGGTCCGGTTTTACATCTCCTCCTTCCCGAGATCAGCACAGCCCTTGACAACCCCACACTCGCCCTTACAGCCATGAACAGCCAGCACCCACATGCAACCCTGGCGGGACACGAACGCAGCCCTGGAGAGTCCGGTGCCCACTAGTAAAGCCCTAGAGAGCCCCACTTGCAGCCCTGGAGAGAAGCGAAAGCAGCCCAGGTGAGCCATTTGCCATATAATCATGGATTGATGGGATCGGTAGTCTTTTCTGGCTGGTTGCCATTCTCCATTGCCGTATAATCATGGATTGAGTTACAGTTCTTCATAATTATAAAGAAACTGCCCTAAAATCATTAGTTTGTATTGTTTTAGAAAACATTTCATATGTCCCTTTAGAATAAAGTATTGGTAATTGGCAAGTACTTGAGGGGAAGAACTTGTACTTGTTCTTGAAAAAATGGTATTGGTGCATCCCTAATCTTGTTGATTCCAAGTATCTGTTCTAGTACACTTTAGCATAATATAATATATTAAGGGATAATATTGGCAGGCGTGTGTTGCAAATAGCATCTAGAGGAGCTGGAGGTTTCACACCCAGGGTTTAGGTATGCAGGACACTAATGGATACAAAGTGGTTTTTATTTGCAAACCACTTTGTATCCATTAGTGTCCTGCATACCTATTCCTTTGTATAATATAATATATTGCTATCCATCCTACAGTCTACATGATCATTTTAAAGAAAAAAAATGTCATGTGAGAAACTATAAGCAGGCTGATTAGTATTATTTTACATGTATAACATTTACCTGAAACATTGCAATGTGAAGCTGCACGCGCTGCATGCTGGTTTTACAGCAAGCAATGTTTGTTTCTAGACGGCGCACCAAGTCTTGCTTCTTCCAGGCAGTGTCATAGGAACTTGCAAGGACAGTAGCTCTGTTCATCACTAGCTGAGAGAATCTAGAGATCTGAATGTTGTGCTCCACAGCCTTTTTACAGAGATCATCAACAGAAACTTTACTTTCTGCCCCAAAGTCTTTGGCTTCCACTTGGGCAATAATATCCACTCCCAAAGCACTGATGTAGCTGCACAAAGTCAGTCCCAGAGCCTGTGTAGGCAAGCCAATTAAGAGTTGCCTCACAAAGTCAGCTGTAAAAGATTTGATTGGTTTGGCCATCTGGTCTTCACTAAAGCAAGAGTTTCTGTACATTGTTTTTACATTGACCAGCTGTACAGGTCCATTAACTGGGATTTGTTCATCAATTGGGCATTTACCTGTGTAGAGAAACCAAAAAGCATAGGATTTGACAAATGTAATCTGTAGCAGGGAAGTAAATCTATTACAAACCTGTGCAATTAAAACTTCTTGAATAAGAGATTAATAATCAGAGGCTACCTTGGTTAAACAGTGCATACCAAAAATAACTGGCAGATCCAAACAAAGGCACCCTGAATTTTCATACAACCCTTGACTTTTTCTTTTTCTACCCTGCCACCTCCCATAGCACTCAATTTGTTTTTAGCAGGAGGAATGGCCTCATTAACTAACAGGGATACTTCAGATATGATGCTAAGCTTCAAATCAAGACTGGAATACACTTTCAGCTGCTTGCATCTCTGCACATACTTGTATTTCAACATGCAGTTTTCACTGAAGGTAACCTCTGACCATACTTATTTTTATTATTATTATACAGGATTTATATAGCGCCAACAGTTTGTGCAGCGCTTAACGTTACGCTTATCATATGTTACATTAAAAATTGACAAGGTTTATAGAGGGAAAGTAATAGAATGTGAACACTATTTACTAGGGATGCACTGATACCGATATCGGTGCCGATACTGAGCATATGGAAGCGAGTACTCGTACCTCGCCCAAATGCTCAGATACTTACCCTGATACAGAAACTTCAGTCAGAGGGAGATTCCCCATGACCGGCAGTGCTGCGAGGGAGCATGAAGCTGGCTTCCCGATCAATCAGGAAGCCAGGCGGTACGTCATGACCCACCTTCTTGATTGGCTAGTAAGCCGGTTTTATGCTTCCTAGCGACAAGGAGAGGCAGCCTGGCTTCCTGACCAATCAAGAAGCTGGTCATGACAAGCCGCATGGCTTCCTGATTGGCCAGGAAGCCTTGCAGTGTCGCGAGGGAGCATGAAGCCAGTGTGCTTTCGATAGAACACCGGCTTCCCAGGCAGTTAGGAAGCCTGCTTAGCCTGGCCCACGCTACCTCGGGATGCCGGTATCGGTATGGATAGCTCTGGATTACTAAATGCATAATCTGCCGTGACTGCTTTTATGAGTAATGATAATCTGTTCTCGGAACCAGCAAATTTTGAATGGTCTAGGTTTCTTGACAGCTGCTATGAATAATAGGGATAAATTGGATTTACCAACATAAGTTAATTTTTAACAAAAAGCCTGTAGTATACAATTCATCAAACGTCTACCAGCAGCGGGGCAGCAATGACCTCATCTGAACTGCCAGAAGTGTGGAGGTAACCAGGAAACCAAATGTGGAAATCAATCAGGCCTGCAGAGACCCCGAAGGATCTAATTTATCAGCAAACCAAGCATGAAATAATGTGACTAATCATTGCCTAAAACAATCCAAAAAACAAAAAACTTTAGAAAAAATGATGTCATTTTCTGGAGCAGTTGGGATACCTTGTGTAAGGGGGAGTTTGTTTTCCAGCTACATTGGATGGAAGCCCATGGAATCCACAAACATATCAATGGTTAGGCTTTGCAGGCATTTATAGGATCAAACGGCCTTATCAATGGTAAGGCTTTGAAGGTACCCAACCTTCAAAGCCTAACCATTGATGTATTCCTGAAACTTTTTTTTTAAATCATATTTTTTTTTTTTTTTAGCAGTCACAATAAGGCTTGATCCCTAACTCACTGAAAGTGTTCCGTTTTAGATCTCATTTGAAGATTAAAAATCAGGTAGCATTGTAAATTTTGGACTAGCTCTACGATCCTGTCTTGTATTGTTTTAGCTTTACTTTCCAAATGCTATGTAGTCTAGGCTGTTTTTACAGCCCAGCTCTGCAACATAAAAAAAAAAAAAAAATCAAACATTTGAAAAAGGCGTGATATTATTAAAAGTGTGGTCAGCTTCCGTGTATGAACACCTTACTTTGCCTTGTCCTTCTTTGAAACACTCTTTAAGTGTACTTTTCCACAAACTTGCAATTATATATTTGGAATGTGATGTTGGATTATAACACTAGATTTAAGGAAAGCAGTACAATATATAGAATTCCATGTGCACTCCTACATTAGCAAAAGACCTGTTAGGGATGCCTCTGTAAAGTAGGCCATATAGAAACAGAGGCTTTTACAGAATGTACCTGGCAAAGGCACCAGCTGGTTAATCTGCGACAGCAGCTTATCCAGGTGGAAACCAATGCACCTTAGATGGTTATAATCAATTGATGAATGTAAATCGGACAAGGTTTTACCGATTTATTTCTAGGAGGTACTCTGGAAAATTGAGAGAGGAAAAACATCAATATGAACTTTATGCCTCTTTTTTTTATACTTAAAACATAAAACTTTTGAAGGGTATATACACATTACATATAGCTTATTCACTCAGCTCCCTTTGGATTTCTGTAAGCACCATTATATTTAAAAAACATTTTCTTACCAGATAAGGTTTGAGAAAATATGCCACAAAGTCTGAAAAATTCTCTGATAGTTTGCAATCTTTTCAAGAAAAATATTTCATCCAAAACACGCCGAAGTTCATCATCTTCAAAAAAGTTCACCTGTGTACTTCGTGCTTCACGAATTATATCAACCTTTCTCCAGGCATGTGGAATTTCCATCTTCTTTAACTGTAGAAGCGAGCACAAAGTAAGCATGGAATATGCTTTCAAGAACACTATAAATTCTACAAGACATCAAAAAATGTCCGTACCTTTTCCAGGAGTAAACCAAATGCAGTTTCAACTTGAGCAAACATCCCATCAAAAGCAACCAACAGCATCTGACCAGCAGACATTTTTGGAGTTTCTTCCACAGAGCCATTCCGTGGCTGAATTAACTCACCATATTGAGAATGAAGTAACCTGTAACACAATGTACCTACTATAGTAATCTTTATTTGCTTAGAATATAAAATACAAATACATGGAAGTATCAGTCTACAAACCCTGATGCTGTAGCCTGGCAGGCCTTTCAGTATATATTTAAAAATGTATACATCAAAATTGACAAAACCTGCATCAATATTTCTTATAAAAAAAGTGCATTTTTGCACTCACAGGAAAATCCTTTTTTTGAAGTCCATGAGGGACACAGGAATTCAGAGACAGCCATGGTTATACTGCTGCCTATAGGAAGAATGGACACTGACAAAAAACTGAAAAATACAAGCCAGCCCCTTTATAACCCCTGGTCTAACAGAAAGGGACTCCAAGAAAATCATAAAAAAAAAAAATATCTCTTGTCCAGAGGGACAAAGGTATTCAGATGGAGACAGGACTTCTAAAAGCAGTCCAACTGAAGGGTGGGCCCCATAAGAGGACTGGGAACTGCCTGCAACCCAGGAGCCGCCTAAGGGATCAATGCTCCAGACAGAGGCACAGGCTAACATGAGCAAAGGAGGGCATCAAGAATTAACGATGCTCAAGACTAGCCTGGATCACTGCCAGGAGGGAATGACTCTACATGGAAGGGAACGCCAAATTTGAACCAGGAAGAAGCTGAGGAGCCGGAAACCACCAAAACAGGTGCAACAAATTCCTGAATAGGTCTACATGAAAAGGCTCGAAGCCTTTCACCCCTAAATCCTAAGAGCAAGTGGATGAAAACTGACAAAAGAGGGTTGCCTTGCCAAAAAGCCAATCTCGCCAAGTTAGATATACTAGAGAACCTACAGCATCGGCACAGCATAGCACAATTGTCCACAAGTGAAGCGACTACGGAGACCATTGGAGAACTCAAAGGTTTGATCCCATGTAGTCAACAAGACAAAAGTGCAGGGTGCAAAGAAGGCATCCCTTCCCGAGGGTATGTAGGAATGGAATATACGTCTTAGCCCCGGACTGGTGAAATAGGAACCACTAGAAATAGGAATGAAACTATGGCCCAACAAAAATTCAGCAGAGCTTACCTATCCCTGGCCACAAAATGGGTCTAATAAGCGCATAATCCCCACAGGTTGATCAAAGGGTCAACATCTGGGGTGAGAGGAGAGAGGAAAAGGCATCTCGACAGAAAGGCTAAATTCATTCACCTGATTAAGAGCAAAAACAGGAAAGTCATCAGGAGGACCTAAATTACAAGGCAGTGGATCAGCCCAATGAGGAAAACCTATTGCCAGGTGAACCCACTTCCCCACTGCATTGATTGCTCACCAGTGCTAGGTGAAAACGTCTGATGTAAAGGTGCCCATACTCAATTATCGTATGAAAGTGCAATAACGTACCATAATCGGCCGGCTGATGGGAAGTGCATGATCGCAATTACTGTACAACTAGCCAATTTGGTTGAAGGGGCAGACTAGAAAACTTTAGTTGAAACGGATGAAAATCAATGGATTAGTGGGCATTTTCGTACAACAAAAATCCCAACATGAACACTGCACATTCGCAAACGAAAATCTGTTCTGCCAAGCGACGGAATTCAGCCAGTTAGTATAGCTAACGAATGCTTATCGAAATCTACATTGGTCTGTGCATAATGGGCTATTTGCGTGGAAATAGAACGAGCGTACGATGACAGGACAAAAAAAAAAATGTAACGATAATTGTAAGGTGTATGGCCACCTTTAGCACGAGGTTGGTCTGACTGGAGCTGGACCAAGCACTCTCCCACTACCTGTTGTGGCAGCACTTAGACCTGGAATTCGTGGGAAGAGGAGAAAAGAATCATATTCTTCCCCATATGTGGAAGTACAGGGCGTTTCACTTGGCCCTCAAGGAATGAATGAAGTGATTTCAAAGAAAGTACTTACCAGAACCTGGGGGTAGGCAGATGGGGGG